TTTTCCTTATTATTGTTCATATTTGGTAATGATATGTACTAGATATTACATGATATTACTATAAAACCTTATAAAGCCAATCCAATATACCGGGCCGGAGTATTGCTTCTTTTTGATTTTTTAGATATTGCTTTTGTTTGTTCCTGAAGGAGATTTTGTAGAGAAGGGTTTGCCTTTTTCATTTTCCAGGAATTGGAGCAAGTCAATCTGTCCATAGCCCGCGCTGCCGTGAGTGGCAAACTGGATGCCAATCCAATCTTGCAAGGCATCATAGTGCAGTGCATGCGCCGTTTGGACAAACAGGCACGGGGTGTATCCAGTGTGGGACGTCAGCAGGCTTGCTCGGCAACGGAGGAGCGCTTGATCTCCAATGCCGCGTTTACTTTTGCTCTTGCAGGGGCCAACCGGGAGCTTGCTAGTGAATTGGGTCAAAATCTCAGGCCTCCTGCCCTGAATGTGTACAAGTTGCCAGAGTTGTCGCTCCCCAACCCAATGCTGGCGCTGCGGAAATCCCAGGCATCTCAGTTACAGCAGAATATTGAACTGGTCGACCAATTCTATCAGCGATTGGAAAAGCAGAAGTCACGCAGATTGATCATGGCACTGGACCACACGTATTTGCAAAGAGGGTTTGGACAAGCCAAGCTACAGGAAGTTCCAGGCCTCATTGGTGGATGCTGGCATCCTGACCATGACGATGGGCGGGACGATAGAAGCTTCATGGAGCTCAAAGATTTGCCAACAGACGCGCTTTCTTCTCAAAAAGCGCCCCTGATGCTTGAGTGCCTTGTGTGGGATCCTGCGGCACATCACTCTCGGCCTCTATCGCTGGCGTCGATGCCAATGTCGCTGAAGGCTAGCCAGGCAAATGATGTCAATGCGGAGCGCAATCACGGCAAACGGGAGCCTAGATGTTTTGTTAGATGAGAGGTAATCGATTTTGATCTATTTTGCTAATTGTATCTTATTGTTTTGTATTTTTTTATTTTGACTCATTTGTTGTGTCCAAGAGATCAGGAGATGATACGGGTGCTGAATCGTATCATGACAACAGCGCACTGGCTTGTGAAGGGAGTTACCTTTGACGGACATGGTTCCAATGCATGGATCAGAGATATTCTCTTTGGGCAGTTTGAGACAGTGAGCCCTCAGGAGATCGAGGATCTTGAGTGGTTCCAGAGTTTGACGTGGGAGGATTTGCCTCCACACGTTATCCCAAATCTGCCGCTCAAGCTTTGCATTCATGGCGGGAGTCCCGTGTGGGCTTTGCCTGGAGTTTGATGCTTGGTTCTGTAATTGGTACATGTACTGGTACATGTTTAATTTGAATTATGTAATTTGATTTATGTTGATTTATATAATCTATTTTAATTTTATATATGTTTAGAATATTTTTGAATTGTTTAGATTATTTTTAAATATTCTTAATGTTTCAAAGCTCAGGTCACGCCGTGAAAAACATTGGCGGACAATTGACAAGCCCATTGAGATCCATCATGATGGGCTCCTACCTGTGCGACCACAGTGGGTGTCTCAGGTTTGGTATGCCTCCAACGGCCTACACTCGCAGCGAGGCTATGTCAGACGCTTTGCATGCAATGATGTTCAACCCGTATTTCGTGGTCAATGAACCAGCGCCTGGTTCTGAATTTCTTGTTACACTTTGTTTTGTGACTGTGTCTTTTATGATTTTCTAGAGACACCTGGAGGGTGATGGTGGTGTGTTTTTGATTTTGTACTACTTAAAAAATGCTGACCCCTGGTCCAAACACTAGTATATAATAGTTTATAATAGTTTATATATAAGAGCATATATGAATATATAATATTATATACAATGGATGATAATTACTCTATATTACTCTGTATGATTTGCCTCCACCCTGCCCATAGTGAGGACATTGCGATGCAGGAAGTGGAAATTCCCTGGAATCTGAGAGGGTTTTTCTTGCTGAACCTTTGCACAGCATTGTGCGCAGTGGCCTGGTCCTGGATTTTGTAGTGATTACAATGCCACATTGTTTCAAGCACAGGGACCAATAGCACCCCAGAAATCAAATTTTCTATTGGAGAATCTTCTACGTGCAATCTAAACATATGACATCATACGACTGAATTTCTTGAAACATGATTTTGTAGACTCTTTGATCTATACTATTCTGTATGTAGCTGTGACATCCAATGATCCGTCCAGCTTGTGCGCTGCCCAAGGCACCGGCAACGCACAAAACAATGCCGATGGCAGTCAGGGCTGAGAACGCGCTCACGGGATACGTGCTGCTGGACTTGTTCAGACTCTGCGCTGATCGCCGGTGTGTTGCACGTGCTTTACCCAAAGGAACTTTGTGGATGGCAGGCCAAACGCACAAGAACCTTCAATCTGCAGCGCTAGGCATTTTGTCTGTGACCCTCAGCAAAGACACTCTGGGAGACTACTTCAAATTTGGTCATTGCAGAATGTCGGAATTACCTGTTGAAGAGTTCTTCGGCAGATTGAGATCCCGTTCAAGCACTAGTCAGCTCACAGCCAGAGCATACTGGCGCTCTGCCGGCAAAGAAATGATGAGGCATCTCAAATCAGCCAAGAAATCCAATTTCTCTGACCACTCTGAGGTGCCGCCAGTTACTGCAGAGGAGTTCTACCAAATCAGCAAGCGAGCTCTCAGTTCTGCAATCAAGTTGGTGGCATGGTGCAACAACATCACCGAGGAGAAATTGCGGTCCTGTTACTTGGAGAGTGAAGGCTACAGGATCACTGCTCGGGAGTCAGACTATGTGGAGATCCATCCATGGGAGGCCGATGAGAAGGACGCCTGGGAAGACCGTTTCCATCCAAAGCACAGTAGCAATGACGCCAATTGTGGACAGTCAGGAATCCAGCAGGAGTGCAAGGACTTGTTGGACCAGGTCCGCGCGGATGCTGAGGAATGTGATGATGCTGCCCCGGGTGAAGCTGAGGACGAGAACAATGATCAGGTCAAGGAGGACCGGGAATGTGTCTTTGACTCTCCATGTGAACATCTACCTGACGCCGAGAAGCTTCGTGAGGTTTTTGCAGCACTGGGTGAGCCTAGCAGCCCGTTCCGTTCTGAGGATGCGACCATGCAGTCCACCATGGACCCTGCTTATGGCTGCACATTGAGCCGCACCCTTGCTCTTTGCAGTGATCATTTGACCTTGGACGATGATGGCGGTGCCATTTTCGATGCGCTTTGGCGTTTGTGTATGTACCTACGACACTGGAAGCAAGGCGCCGACAAGCGTTGGTTGAAGAACCCACGAGCAGTTCGCAAAGCAGCTAAGATCACTCATTGGTACAAGTTCCTTGGCTACAGGATACGCAAGAATTATCAAAAACATTCAACAACTCAAGGATGGTTAATGGATGTCACAGATATGAATTTTCTAGAGGTCGAATAGATCCTGATAACCTAAAGAAATGAATTCTGTAGAGAATGAATTAGATTGAATATGATTGAATTGGAATATATTAGAATATATTAGAACTATTTATAAAGAATTACAATCAGTATTACTATGTATTACTATGTATTACTAAACTTTAATTTAATAGACTATATATATCTATATATATAATGTTTGAATTTTCTAGAGAAAAAAACAACCATAGTACAGATTTTGATTTTGTACACCTATAACTGGTATGTAATGTACCGATATATATATATATATATACAGTTTGTCATTGTTTCTCATTGTATATGCCCAAATTTGTTGGTTTCTGTTTGTTCTCTGTCTCTTCTCAGTTGGAACGAGAGCAAGTTAGCGGAGTTGAGACGTGAAGAAGGCTCCAGCGCCTACCGTCAACGCGCAAGCCGCCTTGACCGCTGGCGTGAGTCGGCATTGGAGGCGGCAAAGGCCAATCAAGTGGAGCTGCAGCTTCCCAACCAGCTTGAGCCTCTTGACATACATTGGCATTGGGTTCATCTCTCAGGGTCATTCAGTGTGAAGAATCTTGAGGAACGTCCACACACACCAACCATCCCCAACCCCTGAACATGATCCCCTTCAGGTTTCTTGAGCTTCTATAAGATTCTATAAGTGGGTGTGTTCTGGTGTGGTTCTCAGGCAGGGCAATGTCGTGCTCGTCGTGGTTCCTGGCCCGGCGAAGGGTACAAGGGTTTGTGCGCTTGCGATGGTGTTGTCAATTTGGCGGAATTCAAAGAAGCCAACTTTGACCACCAAAGGACATGGTCTCAGCCACATCGTTGCCTTTCGTGTTGTGGAAATGAAGGAAAGGGGGACCAGGATGGATGTCTTTGAGGCGACCTATTGCTCGCGACCTTGGGTGCTTAGGGCAGAGGCACTGGTGGCAATCCTGGACGTCACGGACACACAAATGGAGACGGACAAAGTCTCGGTCACATTGACAGCAGATTCCATGGTTGTCATGGATACCTGCGTGACAGTGCCTTCTTGGTGGCCTGTGCCTGAGGATGAACCAGTTCACGTGTCCGCAGCCACGGGATTGTACAAGAGGAAGCAGCGAAAGAACAAGAGGAAGAAATCTACGAAGGCTCCAGTGGGTGATGAGAATGAAGCAGTTGCTGGCAAGTCCAAAACAAAGAAGCTGTCTTTGGCAGAGAAGAAAGCAGCCAAAGCCGCTAAGAAAGCCGCTAAGAAGGAAAAGAAGAAGAAGGAGAAGGGAACGTTGAGCATAAAGGAGAAAGGTTTGCACAAGCTAAAGAAGGTTCAGAAGGCCAAGGCAGTGCCATTCCTCCCAGGCAATTTCAAGAAGAATGGCACAGGACCTGTCTTGGTAGTGCAGTGCATGAATCGCATGAAGGAACTCGAGATGAAGAAGTTTGCGAACTCACCAACCTTTGACGAGGAGGACAGGTGCAACATTGACATGAAGGGTGTGGTGGGAACTTCATGGAACGAAGTTGTTGCCTCGGCACATGCTTTCTTCTGCAATGAGCAACTTGTTTGCAGAAGTTTGCAGACAATTTATGAATATATATATATAAAATTAATTAAAATTATATAAACATAATTGAATATATATATATATATATCTAAGAATCAAATTTTCTAGAAACATCTAGAAATGGAATTGAATGGGTCTGACTAGAGACTCTCCAGATTGCAATTTTGTAGAACTTGTCTGCAGACTAGAGACTCTCCAGATTGCAATTTTGTAGAACTTGTCCGCAGATTCTAGGATGATTTAAGAATATCTAAGATATATTAAGATATACTAAGTACATCTAAGTATATTCAATTGTCAGATTTTCTAGAAATGGGTCTGATGAGAGACACTCCAGATTTTAATTTTGTAGAGAAACTCTGCATACGTTTGGATTTTGTAGAGTCAGCTTATGTGAGCTTCAGGTACTCTAGCCACTCGGTCAAGATCTTCGGCAGAATGATTCACGAGAGGTTCTGCCGGATTCAGTCACAGCTTGAAGCTGAGTCGGTGAAGAGGCACTCGTGGCTGATGCTGATCCGGGACATTTGCCTGTTCATGCATCAGTGAACCGCTTTTAGACATGTCAGAGAGTTCATTGTGTTTGTAGATTTCAGATGTTGCATGTTTTTGTGCAATAGTGCGTGGCGCAGAACTTGCTACCTGGGCACCTGGGGCGTGAAAGTCTGTGATGCACAGGGGGCCATGTCTATATACTCTAAGTGCATCTAAGTGCTTTGTGTTTGATATTCTTGTTTCATCTTGTCTCTATCTTTGAGAATTGCGGTGCCTGGGGTGGCAATAGCAGGACCAGGTAGCTTGATTCCGTAGCTGAATCAGGATGTGGACCCCTGGTCTTCCAATTAGGAATACTTGGGATCGCTATGGATCAACTAGGTTCCAGATGGTTCCAGCTAATTAAATTTTCAAAACAAAACACTCCAAATAGTGCATGGCCATACATGGCCTACTGGAGCAGAAATGCTTGCGTTATCCAGCGTTTTGGATACAGTGATTTTCTATGACTTTCTAATTGACTTTACTCGATTTTATGTTCCATTTGGTTTCATCTCGTGGGAGGGATGCAGCGCAGGCGTGTTTAGCTGTAGGATCGCATGGCTTGATTCTCAAGAATCAAGAAGCAAGATGCGGTAATGTGGGTGATATACCAGATATCGTGAGCGCGGGACACAGTGAAAAAGAGCTGACAGTGATGTGTGCTGCTTTTGCATTGATACAAATTTGCATTCTCTCTACAAAAACAGTGGCCTTGTACAGAATCACAACTGCTGTACATAATGCGACTTTGTCTTCATGGGATTTGGTAGTATATGAGTGTGTAGACAATCACTGTACATTACAAAATCCAATTCCATCCAATTTACATAGACTGTAAATATATCACCAGGACATGAATACAGCGTCCCTACAAAATCTGGGTCCGACCAATGTAGGATCATGGCCCAAGATGCTTCTGGTGTGTGCTGCTAAAGTTAACCTAGTGATCTTGTTTTTCTACAGTACCAAAAGGGCTTGGAAAAACATCAAAAAACATACTACAAATGTACATAATGGGGCTGGGGGTTATGAATTTTATAGTGAATTCATGTGTTGTTGACTGTATGTGTAAGGCCAGGAATTTATTTTTATAGAGATTTGCTTGTTTTTTTTAGTATAGCCTTTGATTCTGTAGAGGGTCAATGGGTGGGGGGGGGTGGGGGAAATCGATTTGTACTACAAAATCTGGAGCACTGGCCCAACCTGTAC